ATCCCTCACGTACCCCCCAATCCCTCACGTACCCCCCAATCCCTCACGTAGCCCCCCCAATCCCTAACGTACCCAGCCAATCCCTCACTACGCCCCCCAATCCCTCACGTATCCCCCCCAATCCCTACGTACCCCCCCAATCGTTCACGTAGCCCCCCAATGCCTCACATAGCCCCTCCAATTCCCTCACGTAGCCCCCCCAATCCCTCACGTAGCCCCCCCAATCCCTCACGTAGCCCCCCCAAATCCCTCACGTAGCCCCCCCAAATTCCTCACGGAGCCGCCCCAAATCCCTCACAACAGCCCCCCCATCCCTCAAGTAGTCCCCCCCAAATTCCTCACGTAGACTCCCCCAATCCTTTACGTAGCCCCTCCAATTCCCTCACATAGTCCCCCCCAATTACATCACAAAGCCCCCCAATACCTCACATAGCCCCCCAATCCCTCACGTAGCCCCCCAAATCCCTCACATAGCCCCCCAATCCCTAACTTAGCCCCCCCAATCCCTCACGCATCCCCCCCAATTCCCTCACAACAGCCCCCCCCCAAATCCCTCACGTAGCCCCCCAATCCCTCACGTAGCCCCCCACAATCGTTCACGTAGCCCCCCAATGCCTCACATAGCCCCTCCAATTCCCTCACGTAGTCCCCCCCCAATTACATCACAAAGGCCCCCCAATCCCTCACATAGCCCCCCAATCCCTCATGTAGCCCCCCAAATCCCTCACATAGCCCCACCTCCAATGCCTCACATAACCCCCCTCCAATGCCTCACATAGCCCCCCCAAATCCTTCACCTAGCCCCCCAATCCCTCACGTAGCCCCCCCAATCCTTCACGTAGCCCCTCCAATTCCCTCACATAGTCCCCCCCAATTACATCACAAAGCCCCCCCAATACATCACCTAGCCCCCCAATCCCTCACGTAGCCCCCCAAATCCCTCACATAGCCCCCCAATCCTTAACTTAGCCCCCCCAATCCCTCACGTATCCCCCCCAATTCCCTCACAACAGCCCCCCCAAATCCCTCACGTAGCCCCCGAATCCCTCACGTAGCCCCCCACAATCGTTCACGTAGCCCCCCAATGCCTCACATAGCCCCCCAATCCCTCACCTAGCCCCCCAAATCCCTCACAATAGCCCCCCCAATCCCTCACGTAGTCCCCCCAATCTCTCACGTAGCCCCCCAATCTCTCACGTAGCCCCTCAAATTCCTTCACGTAGACCCCCCAATCCCTCAGGTAGCCCTTCCAATTCCCTCACGTAGACCCCCCAATGCCTCACGTAGCCCCCCCAATCGTTCACGTAGCCCCCCAATGCCTCACATAGCCCCTCCAATTCCCTCACGTAGCCCCCCCAAATTCCTCAAGGAGCCGCCCCAAATCCCTCACGTAGCCCCCCCCAATCCCTCACGTAGCCCCCCAAATTCCTCATGGAGCCGCCCCAAATCCCTCACAACAGCCCCGCCATCCCTCACGTAGCCCCCCCAAATCCCTCACGTAGCCCCCCCCAATCCCTCACGTAGCCCCCCCAAATTCCTCACGGAGCCGCCCCAAATCCCTCACAACAGCCCCCCCCCCATCCCTCACGTAGCCCCCGAATCCCTCACTTAGCCCCCCACAATCGTTCACGTAGCCCCCCAATGCCTCACATAGCCCCTCCAATTCCCTCACGTAGTCCCCCCCAATTACATCACAAAGCCCCCTCAATCCCTCACATAGCCCCCCAATCCCTCACGTAGCCCCCCAAATCCCTCACATAGCCCCACCTCCAATGCCTCACGTAGCCCCCCCCAATGCCTCACGTAGCCCCCCCAAATCCTTCACCTAGCCCCCCAATCCCTCACGTAGCCCCTCAATCCCGTACGTAGCCCCCCAAATCCCTCAGCCTCCCAATCCATCACTTAGGCCCCCCCACAAATCCCTCACGTAGCCCCCCCATCCCGAACGTAGCCCCCCCAATCCCTCACGTAGCTTCCCAATCCCGCACGTAGCCCCCCCCCAAATCCCTCACGTAAGCCCCCAATCCTTAACGTAGCCCCCCAATGTCTCACGTAGCCCCCAAATCCCTCACATAGCCCCCCTATCCAAGTAGCCCCCCCCCGAAATCCCTCACGTAGTCTCCCCCAATCGCTTACGTAGCCCTCCCCCAAATCGTTCACGTAGCCCCCCCAATCTTTCACGTAGCCCCCCAATCCCTCACGTAGCCCCCCAATGCCTCACGTAGCCCCCCAAAATCCTCACGGAGCCGCCCCAAATCCCTGACAACAACCCCCCCCATCCCTCACGTAGTCCCCCCCAAATCCCTCACGTAGACCCCCCAATCCCTTACGTAGCCCCTCCAATTCCCTCACAGTCCCCCCCAATTACATCACAAAGCCCCCCCCAATACCTCACATAACCCCCCAATCCCTCACGTAGCCCCCCAAATCCCTCACATAGCCCCCCCAATCCCTAACTTAGCTCCCCCAATCCCTCACGTATCCCCCCCAATTCCCTCACAACAGCCCCCCCCAAATCCCTGACGTAGCCCCCGAATCCCTCACGTAACCCCCCACAATCGTTCACGTAGCCCCCCAATGCCTCACATAGCCCCTCCAATTCCCTCACGTAGTCCCCCCCAATTACATGACAAAGGCCCCCCCCCCAATCCCTCACATAGCCCCCCAATCCCTCACATAGCCTCACCTCCAATGCCTCACGTAGCCCCCCCCCAATGCCTCACATAGCCCCCCCACCAAATCCTTCACCTAGCCCCCCAATCCTTCACGTAGCCCCTCAATCCCGCACGTAGCCCCCCCAAATCCCTCAGCCTCCCAATCCATCACTTAGGCCCCCCCCACAAATCCCTCACGTAGCCCCTCCATCCCGAACGTAGCCCCCCCAATCCCTCACGTAGCCTCCCAATCCCGCACGTAGCCCCCCCCAAATCCCTCACGTAGGCCCCCAATTCTTAACGTAGCCCCACAATGTCTCACGTAGCCCCCAAATCCCTCACATAGCCCCCCTATCCAAGTAGCCCCCCCCCGAAATACCTCCCGCAGTCTCCCCCCAATCCCTTACGTAGCCCTCCCCCCAATCGTTCACGTAGCCCCCCCAATCCTTCACGTAGCCCCCCAATCCCTCACGTAGCCCTCCCCAATCCTTCACGTAGCCCCCCCAATTTGCGTCGTGGGTTTTATCCTGACCCTGACGCCTGCTGTATAGTATTTTGAGTTTGCGTGTTCTCCTCGTGGTCGTGTGAATTTTTGTCTGGGTCCTCTGGTTTTTCCCTCAACAATTATCAACATGCGTCTTGAGTATTTGGCTGCTATAAATTTCCACATGATAAGGCACTTTGTTGAGACATCATTTGTCCTCAGGTCGCTTCTAAAAAATGCTTTACAGCTCAGTGGGCCTTACCTGATGAATAAAATAGTTAAAGTTAAATAGATGCTACCCTTAAGACGTCACCCTCCAGGTGCCACCCTTAAGACGTCACCCTCCAGGTGCCACCTTCGAGACGTCATCCTCCAGGTGCCACCTTCGAGACGTCATCCTCCAGGTGCCACCCTTAAGACGTCACCCTCCAGGTGCCACCCTTAAGACGTCACCCTCCAGGTGCCACCCTTAAGACGTCACCCTCCAGGTGCCACCCTTGAGCCCCTCCAGGCACCACGCTCCAGAGCCATGAGAATGTTCGGGTCTCGGGACGCACTGAGATGACCCCTCTCTTTCAGTGGGCATGCGTGTTTAAAAACAACACTATTTCATATTCATGTAGAATGATTCCACAAACAGATATCATAAAAAATGCACCTCGACGACAATTTGCTTTGTTTTACTTCATTGGACCAGCCACACTTCATGTTGAGAGCAACAAACTAGTACAGTTCAGCTTTCGGCAAGTCAATGAATGTGTCCTCGGGCTGTGGGGACCGCCGCCGCTGCCGCGTGTGACCCCGATGCTGCGCAGTGCGCTGGTGGCTAAACACCACAGCCGGTCTGAACGTGCCGTGGAACCAGTCACGACCACAACAATCGCTTCGCCCCATTGCGAGCAGGTGCCTCTTCTCTACCTATTTAGAGTAATGAAATATAATACCACAACAGGAAATATAATATCACAAAACAATGTGTGTTGGTCTTACGCCGAATTCGTATATAAATAGTGGACACGAGCCAGACAGCAAAATATTCTCCAACCAGGTGGGAGGACAAAGTGGGAGAGAGCGGGCGACTTGCGACGGTGAGTGCGTTGGTTTGCTGAATAAAAACATTCGGGTTTGTCTTTATGCCGAGACTAGATCTGAAAATGGGTAGGGAAATCACTTCGGTTAAAGGCATCTAGTGCAGACGTATTATGCGTTTCCAAAACTCAATTCTAGATTTGAAGCTTTCATGACTGCAAGGATCCATACTCTTTGGTTCTATTCGGTAAAGTCACGTAGGTAAAAAATAAAATAACAAAAATTACGACGTTTCGGCCACAACACAAGCGGCCTTCATCAGGTGAAGGGACCAACCTGTCCAGTGGACAGCGTTGGAGTGAAGCAAGCTAAGCGCTGGTCGCCTCCTTTTAAGCTGTGAGGGGGGTAAACGGCAAACGCCTTGAAAAGAAAATCAGCATAAAACACGCCACTAACAATGCTTGGAATTAGCACAAGATGATAATACACCACCCTGAAAGTTTGGAGTGCCACTACTAGAATAAATATACTGTACCATTGAAATTAGTTTAATGTTTGGTTCGATTTAGAACATCTTTCCAATGGTTGCTTAATTTGAAAACATCTTCTCGGTTGAAATTGTGTCTGTGTTTGTAAATCTGAATTGCCTCGTGGACAAATCTCTGATGATAATCTGTCGGTTTGCAAAGGACCTTGGTATCGGAGAAAATTATATCGTGATCACCCACAGCGTTGTAACAATGATCAGCTACGGCAGAAGAATTCGTTCTGCTGTGTTTCAAAACTGGTAAAAGATTTGCTTTGCAAAGCCAAATTAGCAATCAGAGCGTGTGCAATGGTTTTTGGCCAACCTCGATGCCAGTGGCAATAGGCCCACTCGCCTGGGCCTCCACTCGGCTAAGTCTGAGTTGCCACGTGGGCAAATATCCAAATTGATGACTTGATTTGACTGACTCTGCCGGGTGGAAGAAGGTTACGATTAGAACGGTTAGTTGTGTACGGTTCGAAAGAAGTTCAACATACATATATACATGACAGCCATAAGAAACGAATTATGGAATCGTGAATATTGGTCGGGCAAGCCGAGGTGTAGACTCCAGAATGTCCTTCTTCATGCCTGCACCGCGCGATCATCCCCTTGCGCGTGTGACCCCAGGTGTCCCCATGCCGACAGCGCCATCATCTCACGCGTTGCTCGCTCCACGCGGGGGATGGGACCGCGTCCCCGGCACGGGGCTCCTGCGGCTGAGCAAGGCGGAGTGAACGCGAGCCCCGCGTGAGTGAGAGCGGCTCCTCGGTGTGCGGCGCACTCGCGCCATTGCGCCCGGACCGTGTCGTTGTTCCAACAGAGATTGTTGTTGATGTTGATGATATATCAGAAGAATGGGCGGAAGTGAGACGATTCAATTCCTCGTTATCCCGATCATTTACACCATCGTGGTGATCATAGCCCTCCCGCTGAACGCGCTCGCCATATGGGTGCTTTGCACGAGTAAGAAGAACTCCATGTCCATCTACATGCTCAACCTCGCTGCCGCGGACGTCTCCTTCCTACTTTGTTTGCCAATGAAAATCGTTTATCATTTCCGCATGAACAACTGGACCCTGCAGGACCTCCTGTGCCGCATGTACATCATCGTCTTCTTCACAAACGCCTATACGACACCGATGTTCTTGGCTGCCATCAGCCTGGACCGATACATGGCCATCGTACATCCCCTCGTGGCCTCCCAGTGGCGCGAGCCCAGAGCAGCGTGGCTTCTCTGCCTCCTCATCTGGCTCATCAGCATTTCCAGCATCATCCCCGTCAGCACCGTCACCGTGCTCAGCTATGCCAACGTCACCACCAGCAGCAGCAGCAACAGCAGCAGTGGCAGCGCTCCGTCCATCAGATGCTACGAACAATTTACGGAGAAGGATGTGGAGTTCCTGATCCCGTACAGACTGTACATGTTTTTTTCACTATATTACACCTCGCTGGTCATAACGTTGTTTTCGTACGGAAATGTTCTCAAAATTCTCATTCTCAACGGACATCGGCAACTCACGACGAGTCGAAACAAAAAAATCCGAGCTGCCAAGATGACCGTCGTCAGCTTAATCATTTACATCGTCTGTCTCACGCCGTACAACTGCACGCACGTCATCGGCTTCATTGAGAGTAAGACGAACGCCTTCTCTCTCAACAGCATCGCGCTCCTGAGAGACATCACCCTGTGCCTCAGTGTGCTGAACAGCGTCTTTGAGCCGCTGCTGGTATACACTGGGTCGTCTTCATTTCGCAAATCGCTCCAAGGGATTCTAAAATACACAGGCAATACCAATCAAGTGTCTCCCATTCATATTTAGCCATAGCTAAATAGGCTCATCATAGCGCAAGATTATTCCCCGGGCAGACGGCATCTCCGAATGCTCTTGGGCGCTGGTCAGTCCTTTGATGCAGATGTGATGACGGCCACGCGTGAACATTTATAGCAATTTGTTAATGATTTGTATACCCAGGAAAGCTACGTTGAGTCGTAGGATGGTCCTGCTATATTGGGGTTTCATTTCGAGACGTTTTGAGCCAATTAATCAGTTACTTATCCAATTGGGAGGAAGGGGGAGCACCCGGAGAAAACACACACACGTGATGGGGCAACACTCTATCCCCGTATAGATGGAAACAGATGGCCATTAGTCCACTTGCTGTACTGCCGTCTCCTGGCTAGCCAGGGTATGGCACCTCATCGACGCCCACGGGAGGAGAGTTTCATCACATCTACGAGGTGATCCACAAACCCTCGCCTCCTCCACAGCGCTAGCTTACAGGCTGCCACGTGCACAGCCATCAGTGCCCGGCGAGACCGACGGGGGTGTTCATTCCGAGCGAGCCGGTGCACAGCACACACCCCACCACAAATACACAAGGACGTCCCAGCGCAACGTGCCAAATCGGAACAATGCCTACACCTTTAATCTGGAAGATGTTTCTCTACACATCTCAGCTGTACACCACAAGATTGCAGCCGCGACTTTTACAACGCCTCGAAGTGGAAAGGGCTTCCCAGGCCAACAGCGGGGCTCTCACAGCCTCTGTCCCGGTCCCCGTGTCCTGCCGCGTGCCATTGCAATTTGAAGAAAACGTTGCCAGTTCGTACACTACATGGCACTGGAGGATGATGCAAAGCTTTGCTATCCGTTATTAACTTACCACATGTCGCTTCCTTTTGTTAGGCGTTAATTACTTAAAATGTAATATTACGTCAATAATTGCGTACTCTTAAATGTTGTTTTTTCCCCTGCTGTACTGAACCTATAATCCTCAACTCGTATGTACACCACGTCTCATGGTTTACAACGCGATGTGAGATCCTCTCCATACACTTTAGGGGAGTTGGTCCTGGATGATACAATCGTCTCGTGTTCGCATTCACACTGTGAATAAAGCTGATGTTCAAGGTAAACCTGCTCTGTCAGCACTGGGGCAGGGAGGCTGGGAGGGAGGGGGACAGACTAAAACTAAACTATTTTTATTTTACCAGGTAAGGCTCACTGGGCTATATAGATATTTTCCAGAAGCCACCTGGCCGCAAGGAAGTGGCTTATGTGGAAATGTATAGACAAATACTGCGAACATACATGGATTACACGATGTAACACAATTTTTGTTCTTGGGTACTGTGTTATTTTTATTGCTTATGCCTAAAAGTATAGAAATAGCTATTATTCCCCACAAATTTTGCTTTTGAGACCAGGACTTTACGTGAAGGAATGACACAAATGCACACGTTTTCTCATTGAAAATAAGTACATTTCAAAATATCACTGTCCTGATCATAAAATAAAAGTTTGTGGTGAATAATAGACATTTTCTGTACTTTTGAGGCAAACGCAATTAGGAAATAACTACCCAGGAAAAAAAACTTTTTTGTTACAGTGTTAGAAATGTGGAGGGAAAACCGGAGGACCCGGAGACAAATCCACGTGACCACGAGGAGAGAAAGACATGCAAATTCCAAATTAACAGCAGGCGTCAGAGCCGGAATCGAACCCACGGCCTCCTGCATACCAGGGGAGGTAGTTAACATCTCCTAGCCACCGCGGCGCCCCAATCATCGCACGAGTGATGACCCTCACTTGAGATGCCCCCCAGACCCGGTGGGTGGCCACGTTGGAGGCTCCCATAGCCGACCTGATGTTTGTGTCGTCTCCTTGCGCTCTCGCGTCGTCTCCTCGTGCGACGCAGACTTCTCACTCTCTACCAACGCGTGCAGTGGCTGCGACACAGCTCACCAGCGGTGCTATGCCAACCACGCGACACACCGCCACATCAGTGCCTCTAACACAGTGGTTCTTAACCTTGTTGGAGGTACCGAACCCCACCAGTTTCATATGCGCATTCACCGAACCCCTCTTTAGTGAAAAATAAAATGTGATTTTTTTCAAATTCAAGACATAGATATGTTTTTTACTGGTACACAAAATGAGCCGTGCATGAACATTACCTTGTTCAAAGAATAAAACCAACACAATGCATAAACTCACAACAAATTACATACCTGGAAATCAATGTTACTTCTGCTGTTGCCTTTGAGAGATCAGTTCAGATATGCGTGGCTTCACCTTGGCAAGTGCCACTCTCATGTCATTTTCACAGCAAAGTCTGTTCCTTTTCTTCGTTTTTATGTCCAGCATCCTCGAAAAGGATTGCTCACAAAGATATGTTGTAACAAATGGTATAAAAAAAATCCAGGGCTTTCTTAGCAATAACTGGATACTTGTTCATTTGTCGACACCAAAACGTTGAGAGCGTTGTTGTTCTGAAGAGTTGCTGTTGAACCTGGCTCTGCTGAATTTCAATGATTTCATCGAGGAATTCATCATTGACATCTGCTGTTTCAACAGCAAACGTGAACGGCTGTCTCACCCATGCTGGATATGACTCTCTTGTAGGGAAATATCCGTCGAGAGACTTTGCAAGCTCATCTAAGTGCGTGGCAATTGTTTGCTTCAGTTCCGTGGATACAGAAATATCTCCGATTCCAGACACATCTTCGATCTTACTTGCACAGTCGTCCAGAAGCGGGAAGTTTGCGAAGTTATTGTTCTCTGTTCGTCGTTTCCATAACGGTAGCTTTTTTTGAAAAGCCTTCAGGTGTTCTTCCGCTTCCATGATATTGACTCCACCACCCTGCATCTGCTGATTGAGATGATTGAGAGCTGCGAATATATCAGCCATGTACGCTAAAATGAGAATGAACTCAGGATTTTTGAAGCAATCTGCATGGCAGTGTTGGTACTCTTGCAAAAACAGGGCTAATTCCACACGCATGGCAAAAACACGATTCAGCACCTGTCCCCGGGATAACCACCGAATATTAGAATGGAGCAGAAGTACCTCAAATTCAGAGCCCATTTCTTTACACATCTCACTGAAGATGCGGTGCCTCAGAGCACTTTTTCGCACATAGTTCACACATTCCACCACAGTTTTTAATACTTCTGCCATTTTTGGAGGTAAGGTTTTTGTTGCCAACGCATGCCTGTGCAGAATACAATGCGTCACAATGATGTGTGGTGCATCGGCCTTTACTAGCGCACCAAAACCAGACTTTCTTCCCAGCATGACTGGAGCTCCGTCCGTACAAACTGCAGAAACCATATCCCATGAAAGATTGTTGTCTCTGAAGAAGTCATCCACAAGCTTCTTCACATCGGCTGCCTTCGTTGTTGTTGTAAGAGGCTTACAAAATAAAAACTCTTCTTTTATCATGTCGTCTTTCACATAGCGTACAAAAACAGCAAGCTGGCTTAGATCAGAAACGTCTGTGGTTTCGTCGAGTTGAAGGCTGAATTTTGCCGGGCTTGAAATCAGATCCGCGACTACTTGAGCCAAGATGTCTTTACTCATGTCTTCTATTCTGTCACTGACGGTGTCATTTGAAAGGGGAATTTGGGATAATTTACCTTCGGCCGCTGTTCCGAGTATCAGATTCGCCATCTTTAATGCAGCTGGTTTCACAAGTGGTTCACCAATGGTGTGTGGCTTGCCCTGCTTTGCGATCAGGTAAGCAACTTCGTACGATGCTGTCAGGATCGGTTTGTTAACAGGTACAAATCCAAGAGCAGGCAGAGTGGCCCTTTCATCGAATCTGGCTCTCTTCACCCTGAATTCAGCAAGTGTTGTGTTCTTGTATTCCCCGTCTCCATGCAGCTTCAAGAAGTGTTCCTTTAGTTTTGCCGGTGCAAGACTAGAGTTGCTCAACTTGGCGTTGCAAATCATGCAGATAGGACGCTCACTCCCATCACGTTCCGTGATACATGAGAATCCATGTTGTACATATTCGTCCGACCACTTTCTTCTTTTGCCCGACATAGTTAGTATGGATAAAATATTAAAGAAATCACACGACGTACGACAACAACAGTCACACGTTGACTACTGAGTACGCACTAAATTCCCCGCAGCGCTGATTGGCCAAGCAGTGTAGCATGATCATCTGCAGCCAGTGATGGCCAAGCGGGCCGTGTGTGTCATCACAAATTTACACAATAATTCAAGTGTGTCCGGACCTCCGTGGCGGGGGCTCTGCCGAACCCCTGAGATCGACTCACCGAACCCCTGGGGTTCGATCGAACCCAGGTTAAGAACCACTGCTCTAACACCACGAGCTTCACGGCGACGGCTGGGACGGCTGGCTTCGTGTCGCATCACGCAAAGGAGCGCTGCAACGGCACGATCGTTTAAAAGGGTTCCGGTCTTTGTCTAAGCATTTGACCGAACAATCTTTAGCAACAAACCTCAACACACCAGTACCTTGCACATGTCATCTTTTCGTTTTTAAGTAATATTTATATATTTACGGGGTTCCTTGATTGGCTGTCTTGAATCTATTGGGCGAGAGAAGATTTTGTGCCCCTGCTAATCTTTTTCTCCGTGTGGCTCTCGTTCTATATTGAGGTAGTTAATCAGATAGTTCCAGCAGGAGTAGCGGAGTGGTGAATCATCGCTGTTGTGACGATGCCTCCTCCTTGGTATTTGTGAATCGGGCACTGAGTCGTTTCATGATCCGTGAGTCTGTTCTGGGTGGTGACCGCAGTTTCCGAATTTGTAAATCTCCATTTGAGCATTCTGCTTTCACACCAACATTTAGTAGCCCAGTAGACAAAGAATGTGGCCTGCTTTAACTATAAACTTTTATCTTATTTTACCAGGTAAGGCCCACTAAGCTATACATCTATTTTTCAGAAGCGACCTGGCCACAAATGATAGCTTAACTAAGTGACTTATCACGTGGATATTTATTGCAGCCAAATAGTCTAAACGCATGTTGATTTTAAATGTAGAGGGAAAATCCAGAGGACCCGGAGAAAAATCCACGCCACCACCATGGAGAGAGAGAGAAAGAGAAACGCACACAAACTCCAAATATACAGCAGGCGTCAGGGTCGGGATCAAACCCACGACCTGGAGTTCACATCTCGCCATCGTCGCGCCCCTTTAACTCGAAGAGAGCCAGCGAATGTTGAAAGGAAATCCGCAGGCACCTAGACTCGACTCAAGTCCACAGGTTCTCGACTGCGACCAAAATGACCACGGGCATCCTCCAGGGCTCGCGGTTCCCTCTCCCCACCGTCCCCTGCCCGCCGCCTCTCGCTCTGCCACCTCGCGAGAGACGCGCCTGGATGGCTGCACGTGTTTACGACGACGGCTTTGGCACTGCTAGGAGATGTTAACTCCATCACCTGGTATGCAGGAGCTAGTGGGTTCGATCCCGACCCTGATGCCTGCTGTATATTTGGAGTTTGCGTGTTCTCCTCG